AGAAAGATGCAGCGTAAAACACATTTTTCAAAAAAATGAAAATCTGCATAAAATCTATACCGTTTTATGGATTTTAATAAAATTTGAGGAGGACATACTTTCTATGATACTCTATTTGTGTGCCAAATTTCAACCCGGTATCTAAAAAATTGTAGAAGTAGATGCGTGTACAAAAAATCCGTACACACACACACACACACACACATACATACATACTTCCGGACATTTTTTACTAATACGATTTTTCGACATTTTAGAACATTCTAAACCTATTTCCATCAAAATCTCGAAAAAAAATTTTTTCACCATCACAAAGCTTCCTCTATGAGGAAGCAATAATTATTTCCGCAAGTTTGCACTGGGGCTTTCGACTTCTTTTAGTATGTACTAAATACGTGGCTGCAAAAGTAGATTCAAATCGAAGGGGGGTCGCATATACGGAACTCTAGCCAAAACTTGTTTAAAAGAATTGTTTACGTTGATAAACGAATATAAGCAAAGCAATAGCTAATTAAACAAATGTTATGTAGAAATATGTGTCTCATGTTTCTTGTGCATTCATAGAAACTGTGAAACGTACATAAAACTTCGCTTTGAGGCATCCATTTCATAACCATTACATTTTCCGGTATCTCAAATGGCACTTCAATATCTAACTTCCACAGCACTCGCTGCTTCAGTTTCGACAGAGCCAGTATAACAGATTTAACCGTGTCTAAATTGAGATGTTTCCATTTCACATTCGTTCCTAACGATATTACGATAGCTCCATTCTTTGCTCCGTCAAGAAATATGCGCACATCCTGCAAAATAATGGCGAACTGAATATTTCGATAATATACAAAAATATGAATCTTAATGACGAAATATAATCGTAAGTAACTGATACATTTTTAATGGATTATATCTAAGCAGAATTATATTATCAAACTTGTTTAAATAAGATTTATGCGGCATTCTTTTTAGAAGTTGTTGTAATAAATACAATATTATTATAAAAAATATTTCTACGTTTCTAAATTTAGCAATATTCCGTGTAAAATATTTATCTTTTGCTTACAATTTATTGATTATTATGTAAATTAATTAATAATTAATCATTATAATAGAAATTACCTTACAAAATAGAATTGCAATTTATTCATTTATCTATAGATATTGAAAATATAGCATATATATGTGTTTTTTACATAAATTTTAATTTCTATACAGCACACATGCATGTTTAAAAAACATCTTTACAACGTCTTATACGTACACAACCAAACAACGTACATTCTGGGTTGATTATATGTATATGTATATGTACAATGTACATTATATTACACAAAAAATAAACGCTTGCAAAAACTGTTATAAATTTGAGTAAATGTCTATAAAAGGTCAAACTTCACCGATTTTATTACTACTTTAATATGTTGTAGAGGAGATCTTTCTGAGTAATTATATGCAAGAAAAAAGTAGGCGACGGCATTGGTTTAGAAGAAATAGTAAATTAAAGTTTCTCAATTTTAAAACATTTTTTTTAAATATTATAAAGTACATTAATTTTAAAAGAAGTAATTTGCCGTATGTGTTTATAGACACATAAATTACTGATATGTGTGTACAGACAGTACACATATAGGCGGAGAAGTTACCGCCCTTCTTCCGTAGGCAAAGATGAGTAGGGATGGACCTCGGTTCGCGTGGAAAGTTGAAAGCCCGAACCTTAATAGACCTTCTTTCGCTCTGTAATCAGAGATAGGATGGGGTAGACTGAAGCGAGATTCATCTCCTCTTCCCGCCTTGCTTATAAGATAAAACAAAGGTTTATCATTGTACGGTTCAGGTTTTCAACTTTCTACGCAAACCGAGGTCCATCTTCACCCATTCTTGTCTGCGGGAGAGGGGCGGTAGTCCCTCCGCCGCCTACATGTGTACTGTATATATACACACATATCAATAAATTACTTCCCTTAGCACTGAAAAATAATATTTTGTTATTGTTAGTTTGTTATTGCTATATTTTGTAATTTTATTTTGTTATTATTCTAAAGTATTCTTCAAACTATTCAACTTTTGTTTAAAATTTTTTTTTATCTTTTATCTATTTTATCTTTTTTTATCTGTCGGAGACATTCGGCCCAAAAGAGAAAAGCCGTTTTCTCTTTTGAAAGTTGTTTTCAAAGGAGTGTTTTACATCTTTAAATATGCGTATGATAACGATATTAAAGATGCGTATGAACACGTACTATAAATAAGTACTTCTTATTTTTGTATAGAAAACAACATATTAAAAGCTCATCAAAATCGGAGACGGACACTTCCATATTTTTCTTTGTGAGATATTTTGTCATGACATTTTTAATGTACTAGACATCGCTACGCACGCGCTACTTAGCTTTAATATTATACTGTTGCTATTATACTATTAACCCTTTAATACACACAATTGTCAAAATATACGATGACAGCCGCTCACGAATAAATAAGCGCAACAAGAGAACCAATCAGCATCGCGGAAAAGCGACAATAATAAAATTTGAAGTATAGGCTCCAATGGAAATCTGCACGAATATAGAAAACGGGCTAACTAAGATCCGAGCGCGGTAAATGGTGCGCCAAAGTTTTATTTATATTTTTATTTTACATATTTTCCAACCTTTGACTGCGCGCCGACTGGATTTGTCAGACTTGAAACACAGCTCCGGTTGGAGTATAGTAAAATCCCTTCTACACCTAATTAAATCGATTCGATTTAATTTTTTATGCTATATGCATCTAAATAATTGTAAAAAAATCATTGCGAAAAATATAAATAAAACTTTCGCGCATTATTTACCGCGCTTGGTTCTTATTGTTAGCCCATTTTCTATATTCTGGCGGATTTCCATTGGAGCCTATACTTCAAATTTTAAATCACGCTGGCTGAAAATATGCGCAATATTACAACTAATAATAGGTTATTGCGATAAATATTACCACATGCCTCAGTGGTCGAATTGGTGCGACACTTTCACAGAATGAAGTTCCAGGTTCGAACCCTGGCTGAGGTAATATTTTTCGCAATGATTTCTTTACAGTTATTTAGATGCATATGGCATCAAAAATTAAATCAAATCGATTTAATTAAATAAAGGGGGGGGGGATTTTACTACTCCAACCGGAGCTGTGTTTCAAGTCTGACAAATCTAGTCGGCGCGCAGTCAAAGGGGTTGGAAAATATGTAAAATAAAAATATAAATAAAACTTTCGCGCATTATTTACCGCGCTTCTTGGTCCTTAGTTAGCCCGTTTTCTATATTCACGTGGATAATAATAAACTTCGAGTATCGACTTTACATGCCTTTTTTTTAAGTGGAAAATGCGAAATATTTTGTAAAGTCATTTTTCGATAATTTTACCTTTATACTTTTTCATAGATAGAATAATGAAAGGATTTGATTGTCGTAAAACATTAGAAATAATTATTTTAAAAAAATTGATTGCATTTTGTAGACGCATTCAATTTTGCATAATTGCAAATTTAAAATTAATAACATTATTCGATTTTTTTTTATTATGCTACGTATAAAAGTATCAAGGTAAAGTTATCGAAAAGTGAATACTTTACAAGATATTTCATATTTTATATTAAAAATGTCATGACATTATACAATTTAAAATGTCTTAGGAAATTTTTAACGAAAGAGAGTTTCATTATAGTGTTTTGAAAACGTCTCGACATGAGACGGCGGCCTGACATAAAAAATAAGAAGTTTTATTTAAAAAATTTGAGGTGATTTTAATCTAACTTAACTGGACCTTGAAAAGGTCACTCAAGGTTAAGTCCATATTTTCATCATGTGGCCTTTTCCAAACCATGCAACTTTTGTCTATGACGAGTTACAGAAGAGATATTAAAATGCATTACTTTAATAGGACCCCTTGCATAATACAAAATGCATAATATAAAATATATAACGAACCAGGGTTCGTATAACTTCTCTTACCTCAGGATACGTTACGATCACCTCGCCGGCAATTGGTTGCACGGCCTGAGCATTTAATCCTGCAATCTCTAGGGTATTCGGTGGCAGTGGTATCGCAGATTCGAGCGCAGAATGACTATTAATTAGTACAATATTTATACTTTCTCTTTCTATTTTATGTAATGGTCTAATTGCATGGCCTACATATTCTTCAGTAAGTCGTTGAATAATAGGAAAGAAATAGTAATGTCGTATGAGATCATCCACAATGTAATATAAAGCATTCCACGTTCTCAGCCACAAACCTTCAGGTTTTGCAATGGCTGCATGTGTGTAAGATCGAACAGTCGGATAACTTGGACCACCGATATAATCCTTGAGATAAGGTGTAGCACCAAAAGGAATATAGCCTACTATGGGTGGCTTGCCTTTAGCAATCTGAAAAAACAATACCTACCTACAGACAATGGAAAAAGCTAAAACTAAATATGTAGATATTATTTTTGTAATAAACAAAATAGAATAAATTAAATACTATTTTGCAGAGAAAGTCACTTTTATTAGCAGATAATGCAAAAATAATAATGTAGTTGAAGTTTGAGCAGATCTTAAAACAAAAATTAAAATTTTCCCTAATAAAGAAAGTATTAAAAAAAATAGATTTATATGTATAACACAATAAAATTATAACGAAAAATTGGAAAAACTGTTGTCTAGGGGACCCATCTCCAATGACCTTTACATTGACAGGCATATTATGTAGTTTCAAAGTCACCCTCCTAAGAAATCTTCAAACGGTTTTAGCCGCCGTTCAATGTTTATTGTAAAGTTATTTACAACATAAGTTTAATAAATAAAACGTTATACTTTTCCGACACCGTGTTCCGGTACATGTAAGGAGTCAGCATATAATGGTAGGGGAACCCAGAGCATAATAAGAACGCTAAGGTTTGAACAAGTGTAAAACATATTAAATATAAATAAATTAATAAACTTGGTCTTGCACTAAAATATTTTTTGAAATATTCACTATAAAAAAATACAAGTGCGAAAAAATAGTATATATTTTGGCACAAATTGCGAAAACAATCGTTAGAATTTTTTTTACATATACTAGTATAAGCATAAATAATATAACGCATAAATAAACAAAGCATTCCAGGCCTCGACTGTTAACAAACTATTATGCTTTCTAATAGCGTTTTTAATGGTGTTGGTAGTGAATCTTAAAAATTATTTTCATACATGTACATTTTCGCACAAAGCACAAGAACAATCATTATGAATATTTCTTACATATATGCAAGTACGGCCGGATACTTCGGATTAAACAATTAAGGCACTTCCGGGGCTCAACTATTAACAAACTATTTTTTTTTTATTCTAATGGATTTTAACGATTGTCCTCACTCTTGTATATTTTGGCACGCAAATCACTATTTTCGTAAAAAATTTATCCTACGACCTCTTTTATTGCTTCCTCATAGAGGAAGCTTTGTTTTCGTAAAAAAATTTTTTTTTAGTTTCGTTGCCAATGTGTTCAGAATGTTCTAAATATTCTAAAACGTCGAAAAATCGCATTAAAAAAAATGTCCGTAAACCTCAACTACAAAAATATAATATACTTATAAAAATAAACCATCGCTTTGTGCAGAGGTATGTATAATTATTATTTCCGTGTATTGTTTCCTGTTCGTTAAGTTAGTGTTACTGCATCAATAACAAGGTTCTCAATTATTTATAAAAATTCCCAACAAGAAACTGCCGAGTTTGTAAAAGAGAATCTCCACGACCGCAATATTATATTATTAAAATACTACATCCAAAATACGATAACAATTTTCTTGTATCCTTTTAATAATATTTATTTTAATAAATTTATATATGTAAATCTTTTTCGTACTATGTGATAATAAAAATGATTGATTTCTTCTACAGCATAATGTTATAGTCATTTCGGTCTGTCTAGTGAGTGTCTACTCATATAGTTTTAGTAACTTCCAGATTATTACTCTACTTATCTGTACAGAGAACGCCACGAAATATTTCACGTATTTTTTCACATTTTCCACATCAGAGATGTTCTGATGAAGTTTTGTATTTCACTATCGTTTTAAACAAATAATAAGAAGCGATTGTGAAGATTATCACTGATATGATTATACTGACAATAACTAGACACTTTCAATTTGTTACGCAACGCACTCGATTTAAAAGGCAAATTCGCTAAGTCGTATGCAGTTTCAAAATAGCCTAAACAATTAAAATTTACTAATGTTGATTGCTTTACCTCCCATAATCCGTAGAAACATTGAGTTAAAGTAATGTCTTGCACTATTACGTCAAACTCGACTGTTTTAATCACTTTCAAAAGATCTCTCGCTGTTTCAGTTTTTATCAATGTGTCACATGCGTGAATACCCCACTGATATACAAAATATGCCGTATAAAATACGCTATACTTCTGCCACTCAACTGGGTCATAATTATTAGATTCATCATAAGTATCCATTAGACTATCGAAAACCTGAAAATAATAAGTACTCTTTGCTATACAGGAGAGGACATACGAAAATGTGACAAATTAACATTTCCAAAAGCATATTGATCTTACGTAAAAAGAAAAAAACATTTTAAAATAGAAAAGTTATGTTTTTTCTTATTTGTTTTATGATTTGCAAATAATCGATTTATATCTCTCAGAATGTCTTCGAGTCTCTACTTAATAATATATACTTACGGCGTATGTTAAATTTTGCGCGAGTTTACCCTTGACCTTAGTCTCTAATATACTGACTGCGTGTACATGATGACCTTTGCGAAGTAGTCCTTTAACCAAATGCTCTGTCCAGACGTGGTGGCTAGGCGACGGAACAGTCTCTACCACTAAAATCGACAATGGTTTCGACGCTATCACGATATCACCCATTAAAATACAACAAATCAGAAAAATGACGCGACTCAACATTGTTGCGCAAAACTTCTTGTATGGTCTCTCAATCAGATCCTGAGACCGAATGTATCTGCATGCCTGTAGCATGCCTGTAGCCCATGCAATGTAGCATTCCCCTTCTCCGCATTTCGAGATAATAGCGTTATCATAATTTTACTTTATGTAACTAATAAGACGTATGAATCGGCCTGTAGCAATAATTTTTATCGTCGTGACGATTCAATTATTGATTTTGGCCCGATTAATCGTCAAGACGTTTATAATTTTTTATACTTATATATATGTATAAGCATCTCATTTTTTTTTTAAATAAATTAAATTAAATTATTAAATTTATTGCGAAAAATATTACCTCAGCCAGGGTTCGAACCTGGAACCCCCCCCCTTCATTCCGTGAAGGTGTCGTATTAATTCGACCACTGGGGCATGTGGTAATATTTATCGCAATAACTTATATTAGAGAAATAATAATACAAGATGGAAATACCGAAATTTTTTTTTGGTTGGAGCACCATTACTAGGCCAGGTGTATCAAATTCAATGCAATTGTGGCGGTCAGCTGTCCGCCACAACGCGCGACGGTGCACGCGCGACGACGGCAGTAAGACGGGAGGCGCGCGGCGCGAGCAGCGGCACGATATCGATCGGCCGGGCAGTTCAACGCGCGCCCGCTACGCGGCGCATCGCCGGTCGATTCTCTCGTAAGTAAGGTTCGACATCGATCCTTATATAAAGAGCAGCTCAGCAGGACCTGTCCAGCGATCAGCTCACCAGTCAGGGTGTGCTATTATCAAGGCCCCT